AAATCTTTGTCACTTTACTGATTACGTTCAAAAAAATCTTTTTCATTCAACAAATTACAGCAAAATTTGCGCACGTATTAAGGCTCTTGCTTTTTTGGTTATTTTTTTTGAGTAATTTAGAGTAAAAAAGTTGCATTTTAACTTGAAAAGTAATTTCCACCGCAACGTTGGCGACTTTCTTGATTTATTGCAAAGGTTTTATATTGAGCCTGTACCAAAACCCTCCGTCTGAAACGCGAAGTACCAAAACAGAAATAATTTCCATTCAACCTCGCATATCTCAATTAAATCAAGTCGCCAAAACTGTTAAAGAGATAAAAGCTAGCGAGATAAAAAAATTTAGAATTTCATAATGGATGTTATGTTATTAGATTTTAAACTAAACGTACTTTATCCGCATCAACTTCTGCATTTATTTCACTCGGAACACCTGAATCGTCTATAATAAAGTTATTTTCATCGGTTTCGCTTCTTTTTTCGGTTATTACTTGCGCTTCTTCTTCTAACTAAATTAATTTTTTGGTACAAGCACGGGGTAAAAAAAAGTTGGTTTGAAAAGTATAAAATTTTATCTTAATGGAAAAACTCAGAAAGTTTAATGGAAGTTCCAAGCTTTCCAGGTAAAGATAGAGGTATAGTAAGTTCCTGTACACGTTCAAAATCTCTACGTTGAAAAGCACGTTAAAGAGGAGGATTTTTGAATATGAAAGTGTTACCTTCTCTGGCTTCACTTCTATCTCTGCGACTTGTTTTTTCTTTACTTTTGGAGGAGCGAGTCGCGCAACAGCTGTGCCAGGTCGACCCATTGATGTTTGTGGTCTAGTTGGTAAGGGTACAATGGGCCTACAACTTTTAAAGGTCAACCCAGTTTATAATGCCTTTGAGCCCTGTATACTGCTTTGACATCATAGTTTTATAGCTTTTTTTAAAGACCTTTTCTACTACTTACGGCACGGGATTCTGCTGGCGTTCCGGCGTCGACGGTAACGGAGGAGGAGCTTCCATTTCGTTTTGCATATCTGCTATTCCACTGTCTTCTGTCTTTGCAGTTCCTAAAGAATAAGTTTTAGACTCAAAAGCCGTGCTCAAAGTAGGGCTCTGCATATACCATTTGATCATTAAAAAACCAACAGCTGCTTTAGTGAGCAGTGCGTTGATTAAAAATTGTAGAAGTATGAGTATCATACTAAACTTATCGTAAATATTAAAATAGTAAATGTTGCAGACCAAGAAAACTTGATGCGTTGTACATCAAAATGGTTGTAAAAATGTTAAAATCAATTTTTAATGTAAAAAAAGTTCATAAACTTTTTTATAACCTGATGATTCTTGCCCAATGTTATTACTGATAATAAGGTCGCTACTGGTTTTAGATGGTACAGCGTCTTCTACTAAATCCTCAACTTCAACAAAATTCTTTTCTAAGCTGGTCTTCCGTTTTTTCTTCTTCTCCGTGGTGGAAGATTCATCTCGATGATGTTTGGTATGCTTGTCCACAGACTCCTTCAATTTCCAGTATATTTTATTGAGACATGTCTTTTTGAGCATCATATTTGTTTATTAGTACATAAAATTGCCAACTTTTGCAACTCTTCTTCTTCAAATCAGAAAATTTGTTTTTTATTTGCTTCCTACAGAGAACCACCAATTTTCAAAGTTTCTTGCTTTTTTTGTACTTTGAAGAAAGGTTTCTACAGAACTTTTTGCTGGTCAAAAATAACTTCTTACTTTTTGTTTCAAACGACTCTCTCCTCCCTGAAAAAGCCCTCTGCGGATTGCCAACTTCAGTGTACGCAGTAAGCAAATGCACGAAAAAAAGTATATAATTGTAAAGGGCAAAAAGAATGCAGCTAAATTTCCTCAATTCAAATTTAAAAACTCCAAGTGTAAGTTTGAAAATTAATTCATTTCTGTCTTGAAAACTTTTTTGCCTATGGTTTGGGTTTCTTTTCTCCATTCAGGAGAACATGACTTAGCGAGTTTCGCGAACTAACATAAGCATTATAAAAAAAATTATCTCATTAATTAACTAGGCACTTATAAGACGTAGAAAACTAATTAATAATGCATGCTGTTCATATGTAATCAAATTTTTTAAAAAAGTTACTTGCTAAGTCTATCAAAATATCCCAAAAGAATTTAGCGAGCAGTAAAGGAATATTATTTGACGGTGTAGCAAGCTTCGGTTTGACAAATTAAAGCTTAAATTTAAAATTAGTCAAAAATGTAAAATTTCATAATACTTGTTTAATTGTAGGTCGAAGGTCAGTAGATTATTATGGAATGTTCAGTGTGAAAATAGGAAAGCAAATTTTCTGTTTAAACTGAAGCTCCACGGATCCACAAAAAAATTGTCTAAAGATTGCATTGCAACGCAGTTCAAAGGGATTTTAAAAATAACTGAAGTAACTGAAACTTTTCAAGCCCTTTTCAATGTGTCTCTGGTTTCTTCCTTTTTTCAAAAGTCAACAATTTTCTAAGAAAGATAGGTTTTGCTCTTTTTTTTTTTTTTTTTTTTTTTTGCTCTGTTTAGAGCTCCGCGGTTTTTTGAAACCGGTGCTAGTCCAAAATATCAAAACTTTAAGTTGTCAAGTAATTGATTTGCTATATTCAAAGTATTGTTGGTAGCGCTAAATATCTATTTTTTTACTTCTACAAACTCCAAATTTTTGATTCTTGAACAGTGATTTCTGAATGTGTCGAATAAAGAAAACTTATAACCATAGGCAAAAGAAGGATGCTTTCCAGTGGTGCATATATACCACTAAAAGGCTGATCAATAAGTTAGAATGGTCATGAAGCTAACTAGCAATATTCCCTATTCTGTAGGTAAAACGCGAGTAATCAACAACTCAAGGAGCGGCACCGTGATAAAATAAGTTTTGAAAAGAGCAGAAAATTGTGAAATTTAGTCTATTTTTCAGAAGTCTAATTTCTTTGCAGTCAGTAATCTCAAAAAGAAGGCCATCAGTGGTTACTATCTTCGTGGAGTGTGCGCAATGAATTGAAATGCGATCTCTATGTAATAAGTAACGAAGAAAGGACTCGCCGCGAAAGAAATTATGCACATTTTCGTTTTCGTCTGTCTCTAATTCTTGCTTTTTTCAGCGTCACGGGAAAAAAGGACTAATTGCAAGAAACATGCCATTTGAGGGGGAAGAAGGAGAAGGGGAGAGATAAAAGTGGCTATGACGCTTTATTTCTGCAGACTTCGAAGTGAAACAGCTTTAAAGAAATAGTTAAAGCGGAATCCGCGAGGAAGAGAATCGGCAAAACACCAACACCTACAAGGTGACTTACTTTACCGGAATGTTCGCGATTCTCCTCCCCTTTAACTTTGTTCCCCTTGGCGTGTTCTCTCTTTTCTTCGTTTCGCCCATGCGACTTCTTTCCATTTTTTCCAGATGATTTGCTCTCGTCTTTATTGGCAATTTGCAAATTTTCTTTACTTGAAGCTCTCTCACGGCTTCGGTGTTCCTTCCGTTTCTTCCTTTCTTCTTTCTCTCTTGATGGTCCTTCCTCCGGCTCTTCGTGTTTTAACCTTTCTTTGCTTGACCGAGAACTACCACTGCTTCTTTTCTTCTCTTTTGTTTTTGTTTTCTTCTCTTTAACATTCTCCTTCCAATTTTCTTGATGCTCCGAATCATATTTTCGTGCAAATTTCGCAGCTTCTTTGGCTAACTTTTGTAAAAGCTTAAACGAGAGAGTTTAACAATGGGTAATAAATTTATATTTAAGTCATATTAACGTCTAGTTTTTAGTCCCACTTGATGGTATGCTACCATTATTTTTGAGCCAAAACTTTCAAACTCAGTAAAACTGTATTATGAAATGGACAGTCGTTTTCTTAAAAAGCTTCATTTTCCTCAATGCTTTCAGAAGGAGAATCAGAGGTTTTTAAACCTTGTCAAGCAACTGGTTTTTCACTTTATTTCCTGTATTATCCTTTTTTGAACCAGAAGTAGTTTTGCCATTACGAGAATTCCTGTATCTTATTTTAAAAGTTCTACAGAAAATGAAAAGTTTTTTGAAAATATTCTTTCAAAAAAATATTTATTTATGATAGCTCCATAAACTAACCAAATTTGTTTTTTCAGCCTCTTTTCCAGCTAAAATTTTCCCAGCTTTGACATCGTCTAATGAACCGTCTGTGTTCAAGACTGATATAAGTTTCTTCAAAAAAGCTGCCTTGGTTTCTTTGTTAATCATTGTGGAAATGTCAAGCTCTTCCGCAGTGAAAACATCCTGAAAATCAAAAATTTTTATTTTACGGATATTCGATGAAACAGTTATTTGCGCTAAGAAAGTTAAAAAATATCATTTTAGAGCAGCTTCAACTTTTTATGTTCACTTCAAGTTGTTCAAATAGACTTCAAAAAACCTTTCGACCCAAATTATTTTGACGTCAAGAGTTCACCTTGGCACTGCAGAATTGAAGGGGCAACAGAAATAATGTTAACAGAAATAATACCAAATAATGTTTTTGTTGCACCCAGTCTTTGACATTCGATGTTATTACAAAAGTCGAAAAAGGTAAAAATAATTGTGTAAATTTTGTAAGGTAATAGTGAATTAAATCTTATTTAATCACGCTGGTACCAAAATAATATGTTTTCTGGCGTTATTTAAAACAAAAAACTTTGGAAAAGACGGTTACAGAGAAACACCAGCATTTAGAATGCTTGTGTGGATTAATCTGCAAAAGTTCTAGCATGATATGCTACAAAAGCCTAGGCTCTATTTAACGTCACAAAAAACTAAAGAGCTGTTTCTCGACATTATATATTGGAGGTTCTTTTGCACTCAAATAGTTTCACATTAAAAAAAATTCATTTAATTTAAAATTTCTTCCAAAATAGACTATACAGAAAACTTTCACCTTTCTCTAGTCTGTCAGAGATTAACAGGTTTAAAATAGCATTAAAAACCGTGATCCTATTCTTTCACTTTTCTGCTGCGTCTAAATTGCCCTCTGCAGCAGATGCTGTCTTAAAGAAGATGAATCCCACCTAATTCATTGGTGCGAATTTTAAATTACCATTTTCTTCTGATAACTACATTTGGCAAAAACTGTTTGTTTTTTTAAAAGAAGTAAACTAGAAAGCCTTCAAAAGTTCTACCAGTCTTTAGAATTAAGTTGTTTCGTCTTTTTATAAAAATCTGCTGCATTTTGTCTCTCACTTCAACAGTCATAACTTCACTCCTGTCTAATACTATTTGTAAAAATAAGAGCTAAAAAATTAATATATGACTAGCAACAGGAATTAGTATTAAATTTCACTACTGAGAAATTTACGAATATGGTGTTTAAAAAATTGCTGTTGGTAACTGAAAAGTTGCATTCTGGCATTATCGTACTTCACTTCTTTTTAAAAACCTTAGAACTAAAAATCAGCTTCCTCAAACTTTTACTTATATTCTCCAGTCTTGAATAGTATTTTCCTGAAATATCACTCACACCAGCATTTAGAATGCTTGTGTGGACTGATCTGCAAATGTCTCACCATACTGTAAACACTAACTTAAGCTGATAGAAACACGACTTCTCCCTCCAGTCAAAGAACGATTGACACCTAAGTGAAGTCCGCCATTTGGGTTACTGACAAAATATTGTTACCGTGTTATTCTTTGCAGAAATAGTCATTTTTTAGAAAACTGCTTCTAAAAAGTCTTAGTTTCAACTAAACGACCCATCGTTTTTGACTGACCATAATAGGAAGTCGTAATTCGTCAAGACACTCTTCTTACTTCGCAAATTTTTGGAATTAAGAACCAACTGCCGATTTTACTAGAAACACAGATTGCATACAGGCTTTTCTGACAAAACAGCTCTCAACCTACCAAAAGATTGCTTACCTTCCTGAATAATTTTTACTAGAAGTCGTGTAACGTAAATCACTAGAAAAAAAAGAAAGGTATTACATAAGTGGTAAAAAAATAAAATTATTCAAGCCAGAATTTCTCAAGTTGTTTATTTACTTGAAATATTGTGATGCATAATTTTATCCAGTTAGTTATACCTTAAATGGCTTAAAGCTGTAATCAGTGCAAAAGGTAAAGACATTGAACTGACTTTTAAAAAGTTTGTTTCTTTTGACACTTCGATGACAATGTCCAACAGAAACCGAAAAGGTGGCCGTTGTAGAAGTTGATCGGTTAACGGTGGAGAATTGATTAATGGTTGTAGAAGCTGCTTAGTTTCTTCCTTATTCATTAACAATAGCAATCAGATTTGTAACGGTGCATGAGTAGCATTCTGTAAACTGGCATCAGGATTTCTGGAAATTGATGAAGCCCAAACTTTGTATACTGCTTCTTGAAAGTTTTATTCAATTTATCCGTTTATAATGATGACATCTAAATGTGAAAGAGTTTTAATTAAACCAAATGAAAAAGATTTTATATTACTAATAAATATGCATTTGTTTTTTTTAGTTACAGTACTTGAAAAAAATAATCCAAATAAACCTTATTTAACCTAAATTTTACTTGTCAGCAGAAAATATAAATAGTTTACACCGATGAAAGTGAAAGACAACTGAAAAACAAGAGACGAACTTGTTTCTGTATTGAATTACATAAAGATAGGTTTTAAATATTTAATTCAGCCGCAAATGTTCGACTTTACAGATAAAAAACTTCGAAATAACAAATATAGTTAAACTTGGTCCTCACAGTATTTACTACCTCTGTATTGTTTTTAAACTTTTATCAAATTTTACAGTATGTATCTTAAAAAATGCTCAGAAAAGTTATTTCACTGAATAAAAGAAAAAGAAGAAAATCTGTTCCCAACAATAGCAAATTTTTTGTATTACAACAGCATAATCAGAAACGCTTATAACGTAAAAACCAAATATTATCATCTTCAAAAACTATGCAACAAATTGTAAGGAACTAGAACAACTAAATTAATAAACACTTAAAACTATGAACACACTTTTTTTTGTTCAGTTTTCTTATTATTATAAGATCACTGCGGAACTACATTCTCGTAATGTTCCAATTATGTGTAGTTTGATACATCTGATCTAGTTTTTCCTTCAAAAAAAAAAAGATCAGCTCTACTAACCTGGGAAAAAAATGTTTAAAGCTCAAGATTAATTGAAGCTCGCACTGTTTTCTTTCATTTCATGCTATATTTTTAGTTTTTAAAAAAAATTTTTTTGAATGGTTCAACTCAACGAAATTTTTTTCAGTATACAGTAGGCTTTACAGCTATAAATTTTTTTCTTCTCTGTGTCAAATTTTAAAAAAAATTGGAAAGTTTTTCTAAATAATAGGCTTCTCAGATAATCTGACTGAATGATTGAAGAAAAGAGCAAACTTAATAAGAGTCTTCATCATACTCCAAAATAACTTCTCTAATTTGGGCGACCATAGGCACGTAGCTGCAACAACTGCAGTTCGGCTTACCGAAGCCACGAAGACAGAGGCATGAGTATAATTTTTCAGGATCATCATTCATGAGAACAAACAAAGACTACAATAAAATAAGAGTTCTTTCAAAGCCGTCATAATTTTAAAAAGTGTGCAAAAAATTTCCGTGTGCCGTTTTGCTGCTTTATTGTTGTCAAGGTAACCTCCTCAAATAGATTCAGCTGCTTCGCTATGCCTTGAAGCAGCGTAAGCTTGCTGCCATACTAAGACAGGCCGTGAATACGTGTCATCTAGCATCAGAATGGCAAACTAACGATTTTGTAGAAGAAATAAAAAGACATAAATAACTAGAAGAAATTAGAACTGCTCATCACCATATTGATTAATCAACACTTATCGATTAATCTTATTCGACTTTCATCAAATTATGCAATTCAAATAACCAAGAATGTTCCTGAAGACGGTAATTTATAACTTCCAATTGCAGTAATTTCAATGCAGTATTGTCCATTTGAGACTACACTATTTACTGAATAATTTTTAAACTTCTTCATTAAATTTGTAAATGCTGACAAAGACTAGTGAGTTCTCAAAGGCATTTTGATAAACGTGGCAGAAAAACATAGTTCCATGTCAGAGCTCGAAAAACAAGCGTTACCACAAGTGCACAAATGAAGTAATTCTTTCTTCCCTTCAAAACATTAATCTTTCTATAATTCTGCAACTGCTGTGTTTTCTGATTCTTACGTGCGCTTTCTATTAGAAAATCGTATTTTTACAACTATTCTCAATTTAAGTTCAAGAAAAAGTGAATCTTTATGTTAGCTTTTCAACAAGACAAGTGAAATTCTGAAGAGGAATTAATTTACTCTAAAGATTATAAATCACACAAAGGTATCACTATGAATATGTATGAGACCGTTTTGTACAGAAACCTCTTCTTTCTGCGTAATTACTGGGAGAATCACACGATATTAGTTTGAAAAAGTACTAACCATCTACGAAATGCCGAAAGGCAAAGTTATACCGAAATGTTGAGGATCAAAAAAGCATAGTAAGCTGAAAAGACTGAGAGCAACGAGTACTCCTTAACAATTCGCATGCAATTTTTGTACACTATATACTTTCATCTTTCAAACGTGAATGCTTTAATCATTTATTTATTTAAGATTTCAAAATAGCTTCATAACATTGTATCTCTTTCAAAAAAGTGATCCAACTTTTCGTAAAGCTATGCAGCAATTAAACCAATTGTCCTTTGACTGCATTCCCACCACAATGTGCCTTCAATAAAGCAAATTGTAAAACTTTATTAGATCCTGATTGTGCAGGTCAAACAAATCTAAAAAGACAAGTTCATCTCACGATTCTGCTAC